CAGAGAGAGCAAAAGGGAATGCCCTGCCATACAGGTGGGGTGGGGGTGGGATGGGGAGGAGTTGGGGGGGTGGAAGAGCAACTGGATTCATTGGTGGTGGAGAATGGGCACTGGTAGAGGGAAGCGTACTTGATCATTGTATAACTGAAACCCAAACATGAAAGTTTGTCATTGTCATTGTCCTCCCGTTGTTCATTGATTTTGTTCAGTAACGTCTCCATTGTGACAATTTTTACTGTGTTTGGCATATCAAATATGTCACGGGTAGCTTGCCAGGCTCTGCTGTGCGGGCGAGATACTCTCGGTAGCTTGCCAGGCTCTCCGAGAGGGGCGAAGTAATCGAACCCGGCTCAGCCAAGATGGCTGTGCACAAGGCAAATGATCTACCGCTGTGCTATCACTCCAACCCACAAAAGTTTGTAAGTCAAAAAAATAAAGTGATTTCCCTTTTAAGAATAGAAGTGAGCCAGAGAGAGTTCAAGTGGTCTAGTAAAGGGGTCTTCAGCCACTGATCAGTGGAGTCATGCAGGTCTGCATGTACAGAAAAGGTGAAGAATGCTGGTCCAGCATGTCTTTTTCTACAATTCCTAGCACTGCGTGCCACCCACTCCCTTTTTCCCAGTGCTGATGCGTGTGGCCCTGAGCAGCAAACTATCAGGCTCACACAACCTGGCCTTGGCACTGCCCCTGCCCCCAGGAACAGCTGAGGGTGGCCCCTATTAAAATTTTTTTTGGGGGGACACCCAGCAATGCTCAGGGGTTTCTACTGGCTCTGTGCTCAGGAATTGCTCCTAGTGTTGCTCGGAGGACCATATGGGATCCAGGATTGAACCAGGATCAGCTGTGTGCAAGGCAAACACCCTGCCCACTGTACTATCACTCCAGCCCCTAAAATTTTTTTTTGGTATCATTTGTAAGCCCATTACCGAATCATACAAATTGAGAAACAATTTTGAATCATTACTAATGTTCACAAACATTTGATGGAAATATTCAGATAATTCATAAAGGCAATATTTCATGGTATTGAAGATTGTTAAATCCTATAAAAATTCTACATGCATAGAATTGGATTTAAAGGGAAAAATGCCCATCTTGTGAGATCTTTCTTAGCCTTCAGAGCCTAATAGCAAGAATTTTACTGATAAGAGTTTCACCTTTGGGGACAAGAGATGTAGTGTAGGGATTAAGGTGCTTGCCTTGCCTATGTCCACTGTACCATACATAGTTCCCTGAGACCCACTGGGAGTGATCCCTGTGCAGGGCCAGGGGTAAGCCCTGAGCACCACTTGGTGTGGCCCAGAAGAGAAACATAAAAGAATTTCTCTGGTACTATAGCAATCTTGTAACAACCTAAAAGGTAATAATAATAATATTTTTTCAAAAGAATTTTTTTCATGTAGGAGTATTGCTATTTATTCAGCCACTGATTAGCTGATTGAATTCTGCATGAACTCCACTGTATTTTTTTCCATTTTTTATAATTTTTTTATTGAATCACCATGAAAGCAGTTACAAAGCTTTTGGGTTTAAGTCTTGGTCATTCAGTGAAACACCCGTCCCTTCACCAATGCCCATTCTCCACCCCCAAATGCCCCAGAATACCCCCATCCCACACCCTCCCCCTACCTGTGGGGCAGATGATTTCCACATTACTCTCTCTCTACTTTGATTACATTCAATATTTTGACACCAGACCCATCATTATTATTTGGGATTTTATCCCAACACTCAGATCTGCCAAAAAGGCAACAGTAGACAATTTGTTTTCTTTTGCTGGTTATGAATAACATATGTCATGCAGCTGCAGTAGTGGCCGCACAATTTTGAAACTCTGAAATTTTAACAATTAAATCTGGAGGGATTTCTTGCCAAAACCTGCTGCATTCCGAGATTTGTTTCTGAATCTCTGGGATTGTGGTTGTTAAGCAGCTTGATCAGGAACCAGAGAGGTCATTCGTGGGCAGCAACTCGGGGTCTCATTGGGATGAAAAGAAAAGGGTCGGTTCCACCCCCATCACATGAGGTCCCTCTTGTCTCGTCACTGTGGGCCCAAACCTGACTGTCCAGTGGCCTCTGGAGGATGACGGCCACCAGGCCGCCAGGGGGAACAGGCCAAGGCACAAAACCTATTCCCACCTGGGGTGGCCCGGTGCTGGTAACCTACTGCAGGGACTGGATGCATTTCTGCCAAAAGCTGTTGGGTTTTGAGATTTGTTCCTGAGTCTCTAGGATCATGGCCATTAAGCAGTTCTATCAGGAACCAGAGAGGCCATGCCTCCAATTATATAGCTGAGCCAGAGGTGGTTTGTGGGTGTGTCTCCCACATACCTAACTTTTGGCCGTTTACTTTCTTGGTAAACATTGGCCCAAGCTTTTGGGGTCTGGCCAAAGGCACGGCAGCAATTTTGGGGTATTTGGAAGTCTGAAGGTGCCATGAGGCTGCTGATATACTCGCCTCACAGGTATCCACTGACCTGCTGGTGGCACCATACCCCCTCAAAAGAAATATTTTTGAGAGGAGAAGCACTCCTGGCATTGCAGCCTGAATGGTTTGCCTCAGGCTCAGAGGTGCTGGCAGCTACTAGGGCCACACAGAACAATCCTGGACAGAAGACGAGGGCATATGGTGCCAAGGTAAAGGTAAAAGGTAAAGGCCCTCCCGTTGATCGTCGATTTGCTCGAGCGGGCCCAGTAACGTCTCCATTGGTGACTTTGTTGTTACTGTGTCTGGCATACCGAATACTCTCGGTAGCTTGCCAGGCTCTCCGAGAGGGGCAGAGGAATCGAACTTGGGTCGGCCATGTTGGCCGCTTGTAAGGCGAATGCCCTACCCGCTGTGCTATCGCTCCAGCCCTATGGTGCCAAGGGTCGAACTAAAGGCCTCACACATGGGATGCAGATGTTATCTTGCTTTTTGGTTTTGAGGTCACAGCTGGTGGTGTTCAGAAAACTACTCTTAGTGCTGGATAGGGGATCATATGTAACAAGAGGTCAAACTGGGACTCCTTGGGACTGTAGAGATGTTAAAGCAGGTAAGACACTTGCCTTGCACTCACCTGACCTGGGATTGATACCTGAAATCCTATCTGGTCCCAAACACTGCCAGTAATTACACCTTAGTGCAGAGCCAGGAGTACTCAGTAGTGTGTGACCCCAAAGCACAAACAATAAAACTGGGGCTCCTGTATGCGAAGCATGTGCTTTAACCCTTTAAGCTAGCTCCCTGGCTCTCTCTTCAGTTCTTAAATGGGATCACATTAAAGAGGAGATTATGAGCTTCCTTTCCCACATTAATGGGACACATATCGCTCCAGCCCTATGGTGCCAAGGGTCGAACTAAAGGCCTCACACATGGGATGCAGATGTTATCTTGGGACCCTGGGACGCAAAGGGTACAAAATCCAGCAAATACCTCTTGAGTCCTTCCAAGGCAGCAGCCACTTGTCATTCTCCAGCTAGAAACAGTAGTGGGTAGGACAGAGTTCTTGAACTGTTTGAAGTGGGAGAGGGACAGTAACCAAGATACATATTTTGTATTGGAAAATTTCTCTGGGGAGAATTAAATTAAGTGGTGTATGATGGAGATACTTGGCTGGCTACTTCTGTTTGGATCGTCCAAGAAGTGGAGGAAATGACCGTAGTATGAGACCTGAGTGACAAAGAAGAGGAAGATGTGAAAGATTTGGCAAAGAAGAGATTCAAGCAGATAGAACGACCAAGGGACAGCAAGTGAAATGCTTATTTATTTGCAGTCAGAGAAGTGCCCTGTTGGGTCTTCTCCTCCAGTCTGTACCTGCAAGCCTAACTTTGTGGCTGATAGTCCCAAAGAATGAACATTTTAGGCGTGAGATGGGGTGTGGGCTGGAGAGAGAGTACAGTGGGTAGGCACTTTGCTTTATATGCAGACAACCCAGGTTCCCTCCCCATTCTACCATATAATTCCCGAGCCTCACCAGGAGTGATCCCTGAGCACTGCTGAGTGTGGCCCCCCAAAAACTTAACTAAATTTAAAAAGAAATATGTTGTGGGAAAAAAGAAGAATAAAAGAAATAGGATGTGAGAAGAAACCAGTTGAGAATAAGAGAAGGCGAGGGACATGTGTGGGCACCAAACCAAAACACCAATTGGCGCCTCTCATGTTGTCCCTTATAGAGCCCCTCCTGACCCTGGCCTCTGGATGCCTGGAAGTCTTGCCTGGAAGGGGGAGTAAAATGGGGTGTTGCACAAGATTCCGGTGCCTTAGGAGCCAGCAGGTTTGCAAAGGAGGGCAACAGGTGAAAGGCAGAACAGCTGAAAGCACTTCGCAGAGAGCCCCCACAGGGCGACTGCAGACTCACAGGAGCCTTTGGATGCCCTCCAAGTTCCTTAGGTTCATAGACTGAGTTCCCCACAGTCTGGGGATGTGTTTCTTAAATATCTCGTTTCTTTAACCTGCCCGGGAAGCAGAGAGATGGGCAAGTAATGTTGTGTGGCGCAGTTGACATTTGAGCCTCCAGTACTCAGAGCGGCAAAGATTTGAAGTAACCTACAGAAGTTCCTGCATGGGTTTTCCCGTCAGACTCCACTGCGGCCATCTTGCACAAGCATGTGGAATAAAAGGCATCTGTACCAGGAGTTCCCCGAAAGGTAGTGGTCTAGGAATGAGCTTCTCCCTGGCATCCGGTAGTGCAGCTTCAGGTGAACTGAGAAAGAATGACATATCACCTGAGTCAGGTGAGGGAGGACAGAAATGTTTCCTCTCTTTGGCTGTCGTGGCTGTTGGAATGTCTGGGGTTGCACACATAGGGGCAGTATCCAGGGAAAGCAGACAGGCACTTTCCCATCTAGCTCCAGCTACGGTATCTGGAGAAAGCTCATTGTTGCTCAGTGCTAGAGTCAGAATACCACCTCTGCTTTGCTTCAGTTTGATGAATTGTGAAAGATATTATTGCATCGCCATGCTGAGCTCTCTCATCATCCTAATAACATTTTGTTCTCTGCTTTTTTGATCTTAATAGAATACGGCTTATGTTCTGTTCCGTTTGAAAATAAACTCTATCTCGTTGGTGGACAAACTACAATCACGGAATGCTATGACCCTGAGCAAAACGAATGGCGAGAGATCGCTTCCATGATGGAAAGGAGGATGGAGTGTGGGGCCGTCATCATGAATGGCTGTATCTATGTCACCGGCGGCTACTCATACTCGAAGGGAACATACCTTCAAAGCATTGAGAAATACGATCCAGATCTCAATAAGTGGGAAATTGTGGGGAATCTTCCTAGTGCCATGCGGTCCCATGGATGTGTTTGTGTGTATAATGTTTGATTATATCGATGAAAATGACCAAATAATTATTGTCCAGGAAGTAGTCATCAGGAATGTGGAGTTTGGAGTTCTTGTTACTGTGCTTTGGTACATAACAGGTAAATTCTCATTCTTTATCACTGCCCCACTCCCCCGAACTCCTAGATACAATGATTAATGGTCAAGAAAATTCTTAGTAAATCTGCAGTTGAATCAGTGGAGTTAACACCAGTAGTCTCTGCTTTTCTGAGCTGATAATGTTGAATACTTGATAAAAGGTAAAATAATGGAATTTTTTTCTCTTGGTAGCATCAACACTGGTTTTAAGTAAGAGTTGTTCTGTGAAATGAAATGTCTCTCATGACCTTGTAATGTAAAAATCATGGTATGTCAGCTAGCAGGAATTCAAAGTTTAGAGGAGGAAATCTCTACCTCTACAAAATCAACACTACTTTTTTTTGACTTTTTTAATTATTTAGATTGTAGTTCTACTATAAATCTCTTTCCTTTGTAGTATGTGTAATTTATTATTCTTTGCTGTCTATCAGAGAGATACGATGATACGTGCGAAGGATTATTAATGTTCGGGGTTTACGATTTAAAAGGATGACAAATCTGAAATTTTTCAGAGAAAACTGTCAAAACATTTGCTGACCTATTTGCTGATCCTTTTGGGCTGTGATATAAAATGCTAGTTTAGCTATCTTTAGTTTACGCATGTTAGGAAATTCTCTTTATTACTGAAGTATAGATATACATCTACATATAAAATTAAATTTTAGAGCCAGTAAGCATGTAAGAAGAGTTGTGATGTAGTAGAAAATACACTGATGAGAAGAAATAGGCACTCATCCCTTCTCTGCCACTAAGTGGAACTTATGGCGTGGATGGAGTCCCTTGACCTCCCATAATCAGAACTCCCTGACACTGGTACTTTTGGGTCACAACGGTACCCACATATGGTGGTCCCAGTATTTCTTGGGGTAGGCAGAGATGCCCTGGGTAGCTGGACCTTCTGGATCAGAAAACCTCCATCCATCTTCTTCAGTGTATCTGCAGGATCATTTTCCATTTGAGGAAAGTTGGGAAGCATTGTTAAATTCATCTAAATGTTTCCTGACTTGTTAGATTATCTATTTACTACATTCTTTATTTTAAAAAGTACATACAGTAATTATCTTTAACTTTCAATACTGATATTTAATACTACCTAAGGCTTTGATTTTTTTTTTAATTATTTAAATGGTCTAATGCAGTTCTAAGGTGTCACTTTAAATAGGCACACTCTTTGGGGAATGCAGTATGGTACTACATAGAGCCATTAAAATGACTGTGTCTTTGCCCCATAAATTCTACTTTAGCGATTTGCAACCTAAAGAATAATATAAAAATGAAACATTTTAAAAGTGTATAAATGCATGAGGATGTTTATGTCTACATTTATAGTAGAAAAATGGAAATAATTGTGCATGTCATGGGAGAAAGTGAGTTAATAAGTATAGTGAGATACTATATTGCTGTTAAAATTTGGAAGACTAGAAATATAGATGTGTTGTGGTGAGTAAAATAACTGCAAAACCAAATGGCATGCACACACTGATTGTGACTTTGTAAAATCCTTGTGCATGTGAAAGGTAACAGGCAAAACAAAAATTCACTGTTAGTGTACTGGGACATGGAATGCTTTTTAATTTATTTACACATTTTTCCTTAGTATTACTTTGTGTTTTCAATAAAAATAAACAAGTCACTGTATACATGGTGAAGCTGTTTGATTTTGGGCTAATCAATATGAAGGATGTCAGAATTAGTGACAGAATTAAACTGAACTATTTCAAGCTGTAGTTGAATTATAGACTATTTTATTACACTCAGGAACATTTTAGCAATTAATGTTAAACCAAAAGCATGTTGCATCATAGTGCTTTACCTTTTTCCCAAATTTTATTTTCTTAAAGCACTGTGAATTTCAATTCAATCAGCTAATCAGTGGCTGAATAAATAGCAGTAATCCTACAAAATAAAAAAAAAAGCACTGTGAATTACAAAGCTATTCATAGTTGGTTTTTAGACATACAGTGCTCCTTCATTGATCCCACCATTGATATTAACTACCCTCCATCAGTGTTCTCAGATTCCCTCTCCTGCCCTCCACCCCCCACTCCAGCCCCAGCCAGATGTCTTAAAAGACACCTTTTGTGTTTGGTGATTATTAAAGTTTGAATCTCATGATTTCAGTATTATTGACTCTGTGGTTAGAGTACTTAGCTCTATTATTCCTTAACACCACCAGTGTACCTGAATCCCCTTGACACTGCCCCTGTTGCTTCTCATCTATCTCTTTTGCTCATACCTTATTTCTTTTCTTCCTCTTCCTACACTCTGGGGCTAAGGGTAACCTAGACATTCCCCCTTTAAATCATTGCATTTCATCATTTAGTTACTCTAAATGCCACATCTAAATGATACCATTCTGTGTTAGTCCTTTTTCTGGCTTCATTTAGTATCTTCCAGTTCATTCCATGTTGCTGCAGATTGCATAGTTTCATCAATCCTTAGAGCCATGTCATACTCCATTGTGTATATTTACTTGTATAAATGATCCACGTCTGGTTTTGGACATGTATGTTAATTCCTAATCTTAACTATTGTACTGAGTGCTGCAGCATTGTACTGAGTGCTGCAGCATTAGGGATCTGTTTTTTGAAGTAGAGAAGGACAATTCCAATCATCTTCCCCTTCTTTTAGCCTATTTAGATTCTATAAAATTCTAACTAAACTCCAACCTCTAGGAGTTAGTGCCTGACTCTGTAACTACAACATAATGCCCTCTGTCACATTTCAAGAATTTAGCATTTAAATACACACACTGTCTCTTGACTGAGATCATGGAAACTATCTTATTCTTAATAGGTTCAAGGTCTCCGGCCTTACTAAGATATCTAGTATACTTTCGCTTAAGGGTCATGCTATTATTTATATTAAAATAAAAATTTCCACAAGTGTTTGAGGGGTCTTGAGACCAGTTTGTGATTTGAGACTTAATTTGTAGTTTCTTCTTTCTGTAAAAATTGTCTTTTATGTACACAAGAAAGGATTACAGAAGAAAACCATTTCCATCAGAATTACTCAAAATTCCCAAAGTTCCAAATTACTATACTTATGAATTTTATTTATTTATTGCTTTTTGGGTTATACCCAGTGATGCACAGGGGTTACTCTTGGCTCATGCACTCAGGAATCACTCCTGGCAGTGCTCGGGGGACCATATGGGATGCTGGGGATAGAACACGGGTCAGCCACATGCAAGGCAAATGCTGTGCTATCGCTCCAGCCCAAGTTATGAATTTTAATTACTTTATTATAGTTGGATGCAAGCATTTCTTTGGGAATGCAAACACTGTACTTTTTTTTTCTTTTACTTTTGGGCCACACATCAGGTGGTTCTCAAGGCTGACTTCTGACTCTGCACTCAGGGATGATTCCTGGCAGAGTTTATGGGACCATATGACATGCTAAGGGTTGAATCTAGGTTAACCATGTGTAAGGCAAGTGCCTTCCTTGCTGTACTATTTCTCCAGCCCCATCAATTACAGTTGAGGCTTTTTTTACCCAGTGGTGCTCAAGATTTAATCCTGGCTCTATGCTCAGGAATCACTCTTGGCAGGGCTTGAGGATAGATAATATTGGATGCCAGAGAGCAAACCTGGGTTGGCCACAGGCAAAACAAGCATCCTACCCACTGTGCTATCTCTCTAGCTATGCAAGGATAAGTGCTTTGATCCTGTGTATGTCTCCTGCTCTACTTATATTTGTTTTGATTTGCAGCGGATATAGGCTCAATATCGGGTTCTTGCATAAAGAAACATTGACCTTTATTTTCAGATTCTTGTAAATATGTGGGAATAGGTTTCGTGCCTTGGCCTGTTCCCCCTGGCAGCATGGTGGCCGCCATCCTTCAGAGGCCATTGGACAGTCAGGTTTGGGCCCTCAGTGACAAGACACGCGGGGCCTCATGGGATGGGGGTGGAGCTGGCCCTTTCCTCCCCGTCCCAACAAGACCCCGAGTTGCCGCCCATGAATGGCTCTCTGGCTCCTGATCAAGCTGCTTAATGGCCATGATCCCAGAGATTCAGGAACAAATCTTGGAACCAAGCAGGTTTTGGCAGAAATCCCTCCAGATTTAATTGTTAAAATTTCATAATTTCAAAATCACGTGACCACTACTGCAGCCGAAGCGATAGCACACAGCGGTAGGGCATTTGCCTTGCAAGCCTCTGGCCCGGCAGAAACAGGTTCGATTCCTCCGCCCCTCTTAGAGAGCCTGGCAAGCTACCAGAGTATTTCGCCTGCAGGGCGAAGCCTGGCAAGCTACCCCTGACGTATTAGATATGCCAAACACAGTAACAAGTCTCACAATGGAGACATTACTGGGCCCGCGCGAGCAAATCAATGAACAACGGGAGGACAGTAAATATGTGCTGCTTGTTACGGTTTGAGTGTCCATGTCCCCTTCCTCCCCCTCCTCACCATACTGACAGGTTGAAGTTCTCAACTCCAGTGTGACTGTCCTGGAAGCTTTAGTGCCCTTTGTGGAAATAAGGGAAACTTGAGTTTATAAATTTAGAACTCTGATCTGGTAGGATGTATGTCCTTGTAAGAGACACCAGAGAACTTTGTGTCCACACGGGAAACACAGTAAAGAAGTCATCTGCAAGCCAGAAAGTGCTCTGCACCCATCCATATGGGTATCCTGATCTTAGAATTCTGACTTTCAGAACTATATGGAAATTCATTTCTGTAGTTCAGGTCACCCAATCTATGAGTTATGGCAGCCTGAGCTGACTCATCTAGCCTGCAAAGGAGCTAGTCCTTTCTCTGATACAGTGCCAGGACTGAATCAGACAGTAGTAAACAATCTGTCTCCCAACCCCATCACACACATAGAAAGTTAGACGAAGCACCTGTCTTGTTATTCTGGTGATGACTGAGCTGCTATAAATACAGTCTCTTTTCTTAGGTCATGATAGATTCAGCCTGGGCTTGCTTATGCTGATGTTCCCAGAAACCTTGTCTGTACTGCCACCCTAATTTCCTGCCTTTGGGACACTCACACCATTAGAGCATCTCATCCCACTCAGAGTGTTAAAACTAGGGCTATAGGTAGTCAGGTACCCTGAATAGAGCACACCCAGACGTGATCCAATCAGTCAATCCAATCGTTAGGCATCTATACTTAAAAGAATAAATTCCCAACTAAGATAATAAGTGGAGATGAACATTATATAATGATTAAGAATTTGGGGAGCCAGAGCATTAGTACAGTGGATAGGGCATTTGGCTTGCACACAACCGACCAGGGTTCAATCCTGGCATCCCAAATGTTCCCCTGAGCATCGCCAGGAGTGATCCCTGAGTACAGAACAAGGAGCATTTGCCAGGTGTGGCCCCCAAACTAAAACAAAACAAATTTTTTTAAAAAATAATGTAGTACAAGAAAATTTTACTTCCTGTTATATAATCATATATTAATCTAAATATACTTAATGAAGTACCAAAACACATCAAGCAATTATTGATAGAAAGTGATATTGACAGTAACATCAGGATATTTTATTTTATTTTTGCTTTTTGGATCACACTTGGCGATGCACAGGGGTTACTCCTGCACTCAAGAGTTACTCCTGGCGGTGCTCAGGGGACCATATGGGATGTTGGGAATCGAACCCGAGTCAGCCGCGTGCAAAGCAAATGCCCTACCCACTGTGCTATCACTCCAGCCCCAACATCAGGGTATTTTAAAACCACATTTATAGCTATGGACACATCAACTAAGATAAGGGATTAATAGCCTTAAATGATGAACTAGAACAAATGAGTTTTTAAAATTTTTTATTTTATAAAGTAGTTTACAATATTTTATTACATTTAATATTCAAACACCAATCCCACCACCATTACACCTTCCCACCACCATATTTCATGTCTTTCCATCCCGAATCCCAATCCTTGCCCCAAAGCAGAACCAAAATAATATAATATTTTCCTCTAAGGTTGGTTGCTTCCTACTTTGAATCCCATCAAATGTGGTGCAGTACTCTTGGAGTATGGGTAGAAAAAGTTCACTCATGGGTGAGACTTGGCCCAAGTGTGTGGAGAGTGGCCACGAGCATGGTGGCAGTTGAGTTCTGGAGATTTTTGGCTGCTGGCGCTGGGTCCCTTGGGGCAGGGAAGGGGTCTCACCTGCCTCCCTCAAGGGCACTTTGAGTGAAACAGCCTAGTGAGGGGTCTGGCGGCAACAAATGAGTTTTACAGGCATTTCTAGAACAGTTCATCCCAAACAGTGCAAAACATCCCACATATCCCCCCCAAATTTACATTTTTTGAAGTGCACTCAACGTTTTCAAGAATAGATCATAACAAGGACACAAAAATGTATTAGTAGACTTACGAAGATTAAAATTATAATTTTTTCTGATTACCATGGTATAAAATTAGAACACAGTCACAAAAAGAATATAAGAAAAACCTCAAACTTCTGAAGAGAAATAATATACTTCTCATTAACCACTAAGTCAACAGGCAGTTAAACCGAAATTTTTAAGACACCAGGAAACAAATGAAAACAAAAGTTACCAGAACCTATGGGATGAAGCCTAAGAGGGAAGTTAATAGTGATACAAAGGTACAAGAAAATGACAAATAATTTTCCTTTATAAGGATACAAGAAAATGACAAATAATTTGCAGTTAAAA